TCCCCCCCCACCAAATGGATGGGATGCAAGTATTTGTCCATCATGGTAGGAGGTAATACTGGCAGGAATTGTGCGAGGAAGGTGAGAGAGGAAATGGGCAACACCTTGATGATGGATGGAAAGCTAGTAGAAATTGGTTGAAGGATTATGGTCCCCCCCGCAAAACTGACTGGCGTAAGACTTTGGCCTGCCAGCAAAGAGGCAATGAGGAATTGAGAGATTACGCGGAATGTTTTGTGGCAGTCTGGATTGAACACTCCGGATTGGCCAGCAATATTGACACTCCGGACAAGTTAGATCTTAGTGACCTCGCACTACTTAAAACCTCATTTGTTGCGGGACTAAAACCAGAGTTAGTGAAGATGTTAAAAGTTACAGTCCCAGATTGGGAGAACAGTGGAAAGACATATAGAGAAATAGTTGAGGCTGCAAATTATCTTGAGAGAAATGTGGAATCCAAATTGAGAACTATGCAGACTGTAGTAACTACACCAGGGATCTCAGCAGATAGATGTCCAGGCAAATGTCATTGCAGCAGAGAAGGACATTGGGCAAAGACATGCCGGTTCAAAAAGAAAATGACCGCAGATAAGTCCATCTCTGAGTCCAGAACTTAAAACCCAGAAAAACCTTCTGGCTGAACAGGCGCTACTGGAATGCATTTAAGGGACTGTGTCCTGATCAAAAGAAAGCTCTCCTGAACCTCATAAAAATCTTTAGAACAGCCCACCTCTCACCTCTTGGTCCCGCTTTTTCACAGTTTTAGAAAAATGACCAGATGGCTGTTATGTTTCAATGGGAGTGGGTGATAGGGAAATTGATTGCCTTGGACATGCTGAATTCATGTGCAGGTCTTTAATTGACAGACGTAATATGCCCTTTGCAAGTAGAGGACTGCAGTTGGAGTGGTGGGGGGGAAGGACTAATTCTAGGGAAAACACAAACATTGCCAATATGATTGGGGCTGCATGAGATCTTGTATGGTTTGGGCCCGTACAACAAGTTTACGAATCCTCAGAAACAGAAATGGACATGACAGATGTAGCTGCCTCAACTCCTTTGCCACTGGAAAAAGAGAGTGAAATTCTACAAATGTGCTCCTAGAGAAAGTGGTGAGCTCCTGTATGTTACACAGTGCCTGTATTGGACCTTGAGTCAGAGGAACCCGAGCCAGTGCAAAATCGCCACAGGAGGCAGTACAAGAAAAAGGACCAGTCTATGTCCTCTGTGTCCGAGGCAGACGGATGTAGTGTATGTCACAAGGTCAGCCAGTTGGACCTATAGAATATGAGTTCCATCACTGGGGCTGTTAATCTAGTCCTGTGGAGTTATTTCAGTTGTGAAAAAACATTGCTCTCATGTCACTTCGGGAATTAAGCTCTTTTGTCCATATTTGGCTCAAGATTGTAATGATGTTAGATGATCATAATAGTGTTAGACAGTGAGTTCCAGGACTTTGACCTATCACCAATGAATGGGCACCAATATATATCCATGGCAGGATGATGGAGGAGAATTACAGACATCTCTTGCTGCTGTTATTATTCTCGGGTAGGATAGCAGATATTGTTGAAAGAGTTAATGATAGTCCATTGAATCCCACATGCTGTAGTCAAAGTGGTTGGAATCTTTGAGGGGAATGAATGAATGATGTGGGTTATGATGTGAAACATGGCAGATTTGGCCAGAGAGGCCAGTTTTGACATCGAGAGCAACTTGCTGCATCTTTTGACAAAGTTCCAAGCATCGAGGTGAGATTCTTACCAGGGAGCGGCAAGTTGTCTGTTAAGGATTGTTGTTTGTTTAGGATCTTATTAACTGCACACCTCACCTCATTAATATATAGCTGCCTACCACTCGCTGTGAGTGAAATAGACATTGACAGTCCTCAACATTGAAGCAGGAGCAGGTACCTGGCAACTTCAGTTCACTGCTTGCTCCAAATCACCTCTATTTACGACATGGGGCACCAGTATCTCTGGGCACACTCCATGGGCACCAGCCACACACATCCCACATTCACAAGCATTGGCATTTAACATGAATCAGGCTCTGAGAACCCTCATTATCTCTGATCCACTTACAGGGCACTTATGTACTTCAATGCTGCCCCTCAAGCTGCATTTGTAATTCTCATTGTAACACTGCAGCAAGGTCACTGCGTGTTCAGGGACACACCCAGCTCGTAGACTGGACCAGGCTGCAGCTCTGGGCTCTTCACTCAGTCTCACAGCATTCCCTCACTCTGAGTCTCCGTGGATATTCACAGCATCCCTGCCCTTTTGCAGAGTTACCAGGGTCATATATTACTGCTGAATTGCTGTACCATTTAGCACAGACACAAAGGAAGGAAACTTGTCCTGGTTGTCGGTCGTCCTCAGCCAAGTCAACAGTCTTCAGTTGGGATCTCGACACAGTACTTCAAGGGTAGCCTCTGATATCAGTCCAGGGGACTATCAACCACCCTAGGCAGTCAGAATCAGGACCCACTCCTGAGGAAACGATGTTGGCAGCCCACCATCCGCCCTGACTCTTTCTGCCCTATTGTAGGCTGTTTTCATCCTGGAATGAGAGAGAGGCAAGTATTGAGGCGATGGATGTGGGTGGCTCAGCTGCTGCTGTTGGTGAAGGTGGGGAGGTGTCCCAAGTGAGTAAGCCAGCAGCACAGAGGGCATGCAGGGGTTAGTGGTGTCAGGGGTTGGAGTGGGTGAGAGTGAGTAAGGGAAGTTGCTGCAGGCAATACTGAGAGGGTTGGAGTGTGAGCCTTGGTGGGAGGTGGATACCGTGTCAGAGATAGAGTGTGGGGTATTGGAGGAACGATGGTGGCACTTACACCAGTGGAATGGGGATGAAGGGGGGGCGCATTTACCATATATTGTTGTGCAATCCTCCAAACAATTGAGACACCTGGGTGTCAACATTGATCAACACATTGACTGCTGGTGCTGGAGAAGAGGTCCTCCTGCTGCCAATCAGGGTGCCAACTGTCCCCCTCTACCATTTCTGGGCCAAACCAGCTCAGGGAAAATGAAGGACAGCTTCAGACCAACAGTGCTTGTCTCGGCATAAAGTAACTTGTAAAAATGGCGCCGGTCCATTCTATCGTATTGCAGCAATGGAGGGTTGTTCCAGATCCATGAGTTGCAGAATGGAGCTAGAAACAGGCGCCATGGAGATGGGGTTAGTTGTTAGTGGGGCAAGTTTGGTGAGATGGGTGAGAATGCCTTGCAGAGAGAAATCCTCCATGAAACTCAGTGAGACTGACACTTAGCTAAAAACACGTCAGGTTTAGCCCATTTGTTTCACGGTGAAGGAAGAGGCAGACACTTGAAAACAGCATAATAAATTATTGGCCAGTTTCATTCACTTAAGGGAGGTGAGGCCTAGGTGTTTGGTGGAGTATGTGGCGCTGCTCCCTTTGACCAGATAAAAGCAAAATTTCATGTAAAGTATCAGCCCCTCTGGTCTTGATCCTCTTTCTCTCCAATTTGGTAGAAATCTGACTCAACAAACATGTAGATCCCACTCAGGCCAAAAGTTGGGTTAAAGTTGCACTCGTTCTCAATTGCTTCATTAAGATCCATCATTAGAGGATATCATAATGGATCTCATCACTTTGAGCAGTATCAGATGGGAGAGCATCTATAAACATGAACTCAACAGCTCCTGGCATCTCCACAAACATCCCAGTGATTTTTAACTGCTCGCTCATCCAGTTCCCACTGGTTAGGGTTAAAATCACCCCCACTCTCTCTGTACAGGCTGAACGCTCCAGCTTGGCAAAGATTCCAGTTGTTTTCATGAGTGAGAAGCCAAGCTGATTTTACAACTTCCTTACAGCATTTCCTAGTGGATAGATTGTCACAGTGAGCATTAACTTCATTCCGAATGAGCAGATGATCCTCTGCTGCCATCTTCTGTTTTCAGAACAAACCTTCTCCATGTGTGACCTATGACAGCTCCAGTGGCATTCCTGCCAAACTGACCATGAGGAGGTTAGAAACGTCTAAAATATTGGAAGTTCAACAAAAACCCTTCGACAGTGATTTATTCTCCCGTTCCTGCACCATGACCTGTGGCCACCCGCAAGGAACTGTCCTTATTCCCTTTCCCACATCCCCCTTTCCTTCATCTCTGTAATACCATCAATACCATCCACCTAAACACACAAACCAGGATCTACATGTGTGCTGAGACCACCCGGCTGTACCTCTACCTTCTCTCCCAAACTCCTTTCTGAAAAATGTTGGAGCTTGACCAGGGTCAGCCTGGGAGTCCCTTTTTGCAGCTTCAGTGGCTGATTACGTCGATGTCGGCCTAGGTTTCCTTGTAGCGATTTCAGTCAGTCTGTGAATCCATGTGGAGGTTTCTACAGTATCATAGCGGGCCCGGCCCGGGATTCCATACGAAGGGGTCGGGCGTTCAAGCCCAGAGCTGCAAAGTGGACTTTATCTTAAATTCTCTTTTTTAAATTTCTTTTTTTAACCCTTTGTTATGTTACGGTGGTAGCACTGTTATTCTGAAATATTTATTTCTTTATTTTTCTAATTTATTACTATGATTTTGTACTTTTAAATTTCTGTAACACGGGATTTTTTTATTTCTCTATTTTCCTTTCCCTAACAATTTATACTCAAGTAACTATACCTAGGTACCTGTGTCTCTACGATGGTGCCGTAAGTGGCGACTTATAAACTTTTCACTGCACTCATGAGAATACATGACATTAAGCTAATTAAATTCAAATATTCTTTGTCTTTTTGTTTATATCTTCCAGTGCAGACGGTAGAGGAGTAAGCAGCGCAGTGTTCGGGCTCCTGAGCCCAGGGCTTGTCCGCTCCATCTGCTCCTCCTTATTTCCCCTTCTTTATCGTTTTTATTTTATTTTACTTACCTTCGTGTGGAGAGCTCGGACAGCATCAGCAAGGTGTCCAGCACGTCAGAAGCAAGGGTGTGTTCCCAGGGCGGTGTTGGCAGACAGATTTGAGTTTGTGTTCCCAATGGTGGTGGTAGTGGAGAAGGGAGGCAAGAGAGCGTTCAGAGGCAAGAGTGTGTTCCCGACAGTAGCAGAAAGAGGTGAGTTTGGGCCCAGTACCCAGTGCAGCTTCAGCGGAGGCTGCATTGCCAAGATCGGCCCAGCGCGATATCGTGGCGGCAACGTTGTTGGCAAAGGCAAGATGGCACTGAAGAATGGCAACACGGCAGAGGGACTTGAGGCTGGCCAACTGCTTCGGGCTAACATTGGTCTCAGCCTCAGGGTGGGCGAGCCCAGATCCAGGCTAGTGGCTAAGGCACATAACAAGAGGGGTTGTAATGTTGAACTTTCAACTTCTTTATGTTTCTCCCTTTATATTCTGTCTTGGTTTATTTCTGGATTTTAAGATGGCACTGGAGAGTGGCAACATTACACAACACTTTTCACTGTATTTGTAACAAATACAGGTAACAATTACACGTGACAATAAATAAGTCAATCATTAAATCAATAAATCAATCTACATAACAACTTTCATGAGCTCAGCAAGTCCCAATGCACTTGGCAGCCTCTGAAATACATTTAAAGTTGAGCCATTTGTTATACTGTCGAAAGCAAGGCAGCCAATTGATGTGCAGGTAGCTCCCACAAACAGGTATCAGATAGTGAGCAGATAATCTGGTTTTGCAGTTCATTGATGAATAATTATGACCCGGACACTGCAGAGATTTCCCCTGCTCTTCTTTGAGATAGTGAGATGGGATCTATTTGTTGTCTGTAAATCACCACAACTTACCTTTATTTCAGCTACTTATTAAGAAATCTCACTGACAATCGAATACTGAAACAATAATGTAAACTTTATTGTATGTAGTAACCAAAATAAGACCCGTCACGTAAGCAAGTTAAGCCCCACAACCCAACTTAGCTATTACCCAATTAATGGTGAAGTTTAGTTATGATTCCAACCAACAGTGGTCTATCTCTGAAAATGTCCGTGGTTTGATCCTTGTGCAGTATTGTTCTTGGAAGTTCTGCTCAGGGATAATTCTGGAGTTGAATTCTCATACAATTTTCTTAGCTTTCAAGTTTGTGACATTATTAATGATCCTTTAGATTCTCTCATCCCTAACACTGACTACGCTTGTGGAGCCCTCAATCTGCAGCTTGCCTTCGTATCAGGAGTAACTCCCCTGTTCCTTGTTATATTTGGTATTGACTGTTTGAAAACACAACTTTTTCCTGAAATTAATACTTTTATATCAGGACACTCCTTCTGCCAATACTTTATTGCCCATTTGTAATGAGGCACCAGGTTATCAAGCAGTGTTACCTACTCTCACCCAGGAAACAGTTTGTTTATGTTGCCTCGACTCCTGTTCCCAGGGATAGTTAATGAGCATGTTGCTTTTAATTCCTTTATAACAGTTTCTCCTTGTCCCTTCCATCTCAGGAAACAATTTATTACAGAAAGAGTTATTTCTGATTCTTTCAATCCGTGATGTTATCAAAGTTCTCAAGTTTACACTGTCACATATTAAATAGATGACGGATAGTTCTTTGGTTTAATGTCTCATTTGAATTCAGTGCAGTGTTCTTTTTTCTGAAGAAGGGTTCAGACCCAAAACGTCAGCTTTCCTGCTCCTCTGATGCTGCCTGGCCTGCTGTGTTCATCCAGCTCCACACCTTGTTATCTCAGACTCCAGAACGGCAGTTCCTACTATGTTCTTCCAGTGTTGCCCAAACAACACTGAAGCAGCCCCACAGTGCTGCCCCTCTGATAATGCAGGATATTTTCCATGTTGTACTGACATGTCAGCCTGGATTGGGGATTGTGGAGTGTATGGTGGAAACACCACCACCTGAAAGTTCCCCTCCAAACCAGTCACCATCCTGACTTGGAAATAGATTGCTGATCCTTTATTATTGGAGGTCAAAATCCTGAAATTCCCTGTCTAAGGGTACCATGTGTCGATATACAGCAGTGGTGCAAGGTGGCAGCTCATGACCAACATCTCAAGGGGCAACTAGGGACAGATAATAAATGCTGGACTAATAGAGTCATAGTCATAGATTCATACAGCACAAAAACAAACCCTTCAGTTCAACCAGTCCATGACGACCATTTCCCAAATGAAATTAGTCCCACCTGCCAGCGCTTGGTCCATATCCCTCTAAACCTTTTGTATTCATGTACCTATCCAAATGTCTTTTAAATGTTGTACTCTACCTGCATCTTCCATTTTCTCTGGCAATTTATTCCACATGTAAACCACTTTCTGTGTGAAAAAGCTGCCTCTCAGGTCCCTTTTAAATCTTTCTCCTCTCACCTTAAAAGTATGTCCCCTAGTTTTGGACTCTCCTGCCCTGGGGAAAAGACCCTTTCTATTCACCTTATGCATGTCCCTCCTGATTTTATAAATGTCTATACGGTCACCTCTCAACCTCCTACGCTCCAGTGAAAGAAATCCCAGCCTATCCTTATAATTCAAACTTTCCAGTCCTAGCAGCATTCTGGGAAATCTTTTCTGAATCCTGTCCAATTTAATAACATCTTTCCTATAGCAGGGCAATCAGAACTGGTCACAGTATTCCAAAAGCGGTCGCACCAATGTCTTGTACAACCTCAACATGACGTCCCAACTCCTATACTCAAAGGTCTGACCTGCTAACGATACTCTCAGACCATGAAAGAACAAAAATGAAACTTGAACTCACAATCTGGATGATTGACAATCCTGTGCAACTCCCCTGGCACCAATTACAATATACACTGCTTTAATTGTTCAAAAGCAAAATATTGAGGATACTGGCAATCTGAGATAAGGACAAAAATTGCTTCAGCAAGTCATGCAGAAGCTTGTGGAGAGATACAGATCTAATATTTCAGTGCAATGATCTTTATTAGAACTGAGGAGAAAAAGCGATTTGGGGGTTTTTAAGCCAATTGAAGGCAAGAGGAGGCAGGAAGAAAAAGGAGAGAGGGTCTGTGATTGGGCAAAAGCAGATTAAATAACAAAATCTATGATGATGGAATAATCAAAAGGAGTAGTGAAGGATATCGTGAAAAGAAACAAAGGTTGTTTCTATTTAAGGTGCAAATATCTACATAAAAATCTCCGAATGCAACATGAAGGGATAAAGAAATAATTAATCCAGCTAAACAGAAGCAAAAAATAAGAAAGAGACAGACCATAATAGAACAAAATGGAGGCGAACTCATGCAATAAAGTTGTTGAACACAATGTTGAGTCCAGAAGGACTTTACTGATTTCTGGCAAAATTCAGCCACTTTACCCTGTTTCTTGACAAAGATGCTACCTGACTTGCTGAGATTTTCCAGTTCTATTTGTTTTGTCTTTTTGTTGCCATAGGACAAAGCGTGGCAGGATTGTGAAAAAAGTTATAGGTTTAATCCCATCGATTTTTATTGATGTTGCTTGTATCTTGTATCTTCTGAGGTAAAGATGTGTTGAACGTTTCCAGGAACTTATCTCAGTTTCACTGACCTCTGTCTGCTTCACCTGCGAGATCTCTGAGTATTCAGATTTGTGACTTGACTTGTCTTGAGAGTTTGGGAGAGAAAACAGCCATCAGGATTGTTGCTCCTTGACTCCTGACTGATTTCTGCTGGAGATTACACCAGGCAGGAAGATATTTATTAATAAGATTGCAAAGCCAACAGTTGTTGACCATTTTTACTTGCCTTTCAGGAGGTGGTTGGGAATTGTCTCCTTGAATCACAAAGGTCAGTGATATAAGCAAAAAGGGTTTTCACGGTTTTGCCCAGGTGACAGTGAAGAAATGGTGATATAGTTCCAAGACAGGATGGTGTGTGACTGGAGGGAGCTTACGGATACTGGGTCAGAGATAGTGCTGGATCTTTCTGAAGAAGGGTCCCGACCCGAAACGTCAGCTTTCCTGTTCTTCTGATGCTGCCTGACCTGCTGTGTACCTTCAGCTCCACTCTGGGTATTATGTTGTAATTTATATATTAATGTGTCTGATTTATCTATATGTGTGAATGGGTTTAATGATTTCTGTATTTCTGTAGCCATGAAGAAGGTACTGTAAACCAGGAAGAGCCTCTGATTTCAGTCCAGGGACTTGGCCATGGTTAGGTATTGGGTTGGTATGGTCACTATCAGAGTGTTCGTACCCTCGAAACCTGGGGAGTGGGTTATGTCACTCTGTGGCTCCAGAGTGTCTAGAGGTCAGTTGGGGAGCTGCAGAGAGTTTAAGTAAGGCACTATCCCTGGCATGAATTGCCATGAAGCTAACTGTAGCAGTTACCACATCTCAGGGCTATCCTGATGGTACATTTTGGAAGGGTCTGTAAGTGGTTCTTCCTCCGGCTGGTACCTATTGACACTGCCCTGTCTCTTTGTGAGGAAGCAGCACCTGAAATGCACTCAAGCTGCTCCATTCCCCCATTTCCTTGCTGTTGGTCCTGAGCACCAGTGGTTACGGTGATGGAGTGCAGGCCCATAGCGAGAATACTTGAGACTGTCCAGGGAGGCAGACAGACTCCTGTGGCAATAGGTCCCTAGTGTTCCTGCAGTCTGCAGTGTCTGTGCCATGAGGGTCCCTGTTGCCCATATTCCTGTCTGCTGCTTCTGGGCCCTCTCAGAGTCACTGATCACCCACACCACGGGCTCCTCTCCTGCCTGGGGCTGAGCAGGTCCCTGATCACCCACACCACAGGCTCCTCTCCTGCCTG